AAACTGGTAACTACCAAATTGAAGTCCATAGGTTTCTAGGTGGCTGGTATGATGATGAGGCCTGATTGTTATTATTTTGCATGCTATCTGTCATTCGGATGCGGTTGTAGCCCCTTTGACCGTATAATCTCCTAATTTGGTGCCTGCCCATATCAATTTATCCTCTACTGGAGATGTGCTGATAGGGATTAGCAATATCTAATTCATCACTTCCTCTTGAAAGATTTCTTTCAATTCTTGTTCTTTCCAATCGTGGGTTTCCTGGTTGATAAGGTCAGCCACCTGTTGTGGTTCATTCTGTCTTACTAGACCTCCAATCTTCCCTATAGGGAGCCATACATCCTCTCTAGTTTTAATTTTTCTACCATCCTCAACTCTCCATCTGGCTTCCTTTTCTATAGCTTCTCTTCCCACAATCAGACTTTGCCAACCCCACGATGGTCGGTGGCATTTTTTTGCATGCCAAAACTGTCCTTGTGGGTAATAGAGGCCTTTCAAAACTTGGCTCCATAAAGCTTCAAGTTCATGCACCAGTCTCCAGGCTTGTTTCCCCAAAATGGTTTTGTTCAAAGTGATAAGGTCCCTGAACCCCAGTCCTCCCAAGTCTTTTCTTTTCTTCAAAGTTTCCCAACTTTTCCAGTGAATCCCTTCTTTGTCAGCTTTCTGCTTCCACCAAAATGCAGCAATTCTTCTCTCTATGGCCTTGCAAACGGAGATCGGGATTTTAAAAATTGACATCACATATTGAGGGAGCGCCTGGACTACTGTTTTAATGAGGATTTCTTTGCCAGCTTTCGACATTAGCCTTTCTTTCCATCCTTCTAGCTTGGAATGCACCCTTGCAAGCACTCATGCAAACATTTCTTTCTTTGATTGGCCCCAGTCCGATGCAATGCCCAAGTATTTCCCCATTTTTTTCAATTACCGGCAATCTAAGCTCCTCGGCTAGTCTATTTTTCATCTGCTGTGGACATCCTTTGCTAAAGAAGATTCCTGATTTATTCAGGTTAACCACTTGTCCCAAAGCCTGGCAATATTGATTCAGGATATTTGCCACATTTTGACATTCTTGAGTTGACCCGTCAAGGAAAAAGATAGCGTCGTCTGCAAAAAGTAGGTGCGATAAGGTCAGGCACCACCTATTGAGTTTGATTCCTTTAATTGTACCGTCCTCCACTACTTTGTGCATTAACGATGACAGAGCGTTAGCCATAATGATGAATAAGTAAGGGGAAAGAGGATCACCATGTCGAATGCCCCGAGTAGGATTGAAATGTGGGAGAGTCTCCCCGTTTACTCTAACTCTGTAGGAGACTATGGATATGCACTGTCTAACAAGATTCACCCACCTCTCACAAAATCCCATCTGAATCATACTGGAACAGAGGAAGTCCCAATCCACCCTATCGTAGGCCTTTTGCATATCTAACTTCAGGACTGCTTGGAACTTCTTTACCCTTTTCCGCACTCTCTGCTGATGTAAGACTTCTTGTACAATTAAGATGTTATCTTGTATTTGCCGGCCATTGACAAATGCACTTTGCTCAGGGAAAATAAGGTCGGGAAGCCACTATTTAAGCCTATTAGCCATAACTTTAGAAATAATCTTATAGCTGAAATTGCACAAGCTGATCGACCTGTATTGGTTGATGCTCTCCGGGTTCATAACTTTAGGGATCACTACTATGTGTGTGCGATTTAGTGTCCCGTCAAGAAGACCAGTATTAAAGAAACTTTCCACCATTCCGTACACATCTTGATTCACATGCTTCCAATGTTTTTGGAAGAATTGTCCATTTAGCCCATCCAGTCCCGGTGCTTTTGTGGCCCCCATTTGAAACACCGTTGCTTTAATCTCTTCCATTGTAACCATAGCCATTATAGCCTCATTCATTCCTTCCTTAGCTAGGTTCGGACACTGATTCAACACTGGTTGTATATTTATAGGCCCTTCTGTGGAAAACAACGATAGATAAAAGGCCTGTATATGTTCTTTTAATTTTCGATAGTCTCGGGTCCATTTGTCCTCCCCAGCCTTTAAGGTAGTGATTCTATTTCTCTGCCTTCTCTGGATTGTGGTAGCATGAAAATATCTCGTATTCTTATCGCCCCATTTCAGCCATTTAATTCTTGATCTCATGCTCCAGTACATTTCCTCTTGTCTCCATATCATCTCAATTTTCTCTTTTGTCTCCTGAATATCCTCTCTTTTGGCTTCCCCTTCTGGTTTATTAGTAAGCATAGTGAGCCTACCCATGAGGTTGGTAATATGAAGATGTGCATTCGAAAACTTCCTCCTACACCATTTAGTTAATGCCCTCTTCACTGCATCTGATTTGCTTGCCATGTTTTGGTTGCTCATTTTGTGGCCTCTCCAGGCTTTTTTAACAATTTCATCACATTCCGGATCTTCAAGCCAGAAAGCCTCAAACCTGAACAATTTTTTCTGTTTTCTTCTTTGGGGGCATATCGACAGCAAGATAGGGCTATGGTCCGAGCCAATAGTCGGTAGTGCAATAGCTTCCGCCTCCGCAAACATGACATGCCAGTTCATATTGCACACAACTCTATCTAGTCGCTTTCGGATTAGTTCTTCCCTTTCTCTATTATTTGTCCAGGTAAAAGCACAACCCTTACTCTCCACATCCATGAGCTCACAGTCTGTCATCATCCTTCGAAATGCCGCTAGCTGGTAGTAGTCCGCTTCTCTCTTCCCTATCTTCTCCCAGTGGTAGAGGATCTCATTGAAATCTCCCATACAAACCCACGGATAGACGTTTTCAGTATGAATTCTCTGCATCCTTTGCCATAAAGTAAGTCTTTCCTGATAATTTGTTGAAGCATTCACAAAGCCAATCCTCATGTGTTGTCCACTCATTGGCTCTCGACAAGATACATCTATAAAATCAGTCGAGCACTCCAAGATCTCCAATTGGATTTCTTCACACCACATCACCACTAGCCCTCCCGCTCTTTCTACCGGATCCACTATTGTGGATTTCTGAAAATTTAGTTGCTTCTGGACTCTTTCCACTACTTCCTTTCTATTTTTTGCCTCAATTAGGAACATAACATTGGGTCTTTCTTGAACCACTAGGGCTCTAAGATGCTAGAATGTCAGGGTAGAACCCAACCCCTGGACATTTCAGCTCAAGAACTTCATTTATCTCCTAGTGGCTTATTAGGGCTAGCCACCAAAGCCCACAACTTGGGGTCTTCCTCTACCCTTATCGGGTATCATGCAGCAGGTCATCATCACTTCTCTTCAAATTAGCTCCCTGAGGTAGGTAGGGGTTATGCCTTCATACCTTTTTTGTTGCAGGAACTTTTAGTCCCTTTCTAGAGCTTTTTGCTTTCCTTAGAATGCTTACCGAGGGGGTTTCCACCCAAGGAACATCCGAAATCAGCAGCTGAGCTTCCTGTGGTCTCTTCCCCAAAGTCCTCCAAATGCTTCCCTCTTGATTCTGGTTGGTGTATTGGACTATTGCAGTTTGTTGCATCTCCATAGTGCCCATAGCTTGACTGTTTTCGGATGGTTCTTCCTGAAGCGATGTCTCTGGAATAACTTCTTCCACCTCCGACTCTTCACCCTCCACCTTGTGAAACATCTCCCAGAATGGGCTATGCTCCTTAGCCTCCGCTTTTAGCCAATAGCCAAATAGTCCTTCATTGATAGGTTTGAGTTCGGTCTTGTTATAAGGCACCTCCTCACAGCTAGTTGTATAATGGCCTATCTTTCCGCATGAGTAGCAAAAATGGGGTAGGCGTTCATAACTGAAATCTATCCAGAAATTTTCTTCTTCAAAATCTAGCATAACCCCCGAGACTAAAGGTTTCAACAAGTTAAGTGACACTCGGGCCTTACCAACCTTACACGGGCTGCCCTCCTTTGTTCCCAGCTTTACTTCTAATACATCTCCAATTTTTTAGGCTACTTCTTTGATGATTGATTTAGTAATACACACTAAGGGTAACCCATGAAGTTGTACCCAAAAAGGGCAATGAGTAAAGGTGTGACAGTGTATGGGCAACTTGGGGTTGAACTGTTGAAGAATAAGTAGATTTCCTGAGAAGGACCATGGGCTAGCTTCCAACACTCTTCGTTTCTCCATTTCAGATTTGAAAGTGAAGGTAAAGAGCCCTTGTTGTGCCTGATCACACACTACCCTTTCTGTTTTCCATGCTTTCAACATTATCGATTGGAAGGCTTGGAAGTTAACATTAGGCTTTGAATGGAGTTTCCCCAATAAAGTCAACTGACATTCCTCTATTTTCTTACTCGGGAATTTCCTCAAACACCTTAACTACAGAGTCTTTTGTCCACATTTTACCCATATGTTTGTAAAGTGCTGCCATTTTCTTCTCTCTCTCTCTCTCTCTCTCTCTCTCTCTCTCTCTCTCTCTCTCTCTCTCTCTCTCTCTCTCTCTCTAATTCTCTCTCCATTTTCTATATACTATTGCAGCAAAAGCCAGGGTAACTCATTTCAGTAGGGTGGGCCACAGAAAGAAAAGTTTATTGAAACATCAAACCTGGAGTGCGCCTTCTATTGCACTTCTAGAGTTCTCATTCCTCGGATAAGCTGCTGCCTTGGTTCTACTTTCAGCTTCAGCAATTGCTAAGAAGGGATAAGGGTTCCAGGATTGAAGGGAGCTCAAAGTCTGTTTTGCATTTTCTGGGTACGAGTCATTGGGATGGATTTCGTTGAAAAAGTGGGTGGATGAAGGTAAGAAGCTAGTCGGGTTAATGTGACTGTTTGTGGTTTGAGAATACGTGGTTTTTCATGTTGGTTTGTTTGGAAGGATTGATTCCTAAAACTAAATGGAAGACAGAAAGCTTAAATGTACGCTAGGGTTTTTTGTGTGGCTAGTTCTGTGGGTGATTGGGTGGCTGTGGGGTATCGGTGGCGTGGGGGATTGTGGGTGGCTGTGTTGTTTCCATATTCAGGATGTGAAGAATGGAAAGGGAAGAAATCTACTCAGGAGGTTAGGGTTTAGTAGGGATGACTATCTCCATGGATAGAGGGGAAGCTCTCCAGCAGGAGAGAGACGGAGCCATTACTGTGATCTGGTAATGTGAGTGCCAGATGATGTGGAGGATGATGCTCCCAGACTTGTGAGGGTTTTTTACAGTGGTTGATGTCAATGACTTTCTAATGTGAAGAATCTATAACTCCCACGTATCTACATGTTAACTCACTGTCGACCCCTTCTCTCCACTCTCAGCTTCCTTTGTGGTTTGTAATGATTTATTGGATTTTGATAGGCCTCTTCTCTCAACTCACTCTTCTCATCCACGTATACACGAAAAATCACGAAACTGGTACATCTGTGATAAACGGAGGGTAAAACCCTAAATCGGTACACCCATCAATTGTCACGTGTCATCCAACTCAGTAATTTGATAATAAAATTTAACGGAAACTGACGGAGGGTAAATTTATCACAGGTGTATCAGTTTGAGATTTTTGGTGGTCAAAAAATTAGTTTATGGTAAATTTATCATAAATATACATGTTTAGGGTTTTCGTGGTATTAACCCTTACCTTTTTTTTATAGGGATATCCATTATAGAAAGTAAGTGGCAAGACCTTGACTAAGTTTATGTTTCTTTAATCCAAAGGCAATATGAGGATGACGGAAAAAAGAATCGGCCTAGTCACTCAACTTCTCTTTCCATCTCAATGTAATCTTGAATGAGATTTTGTCTCTTTACCTCCAACAAAACGCTAGACTAATTATTTCTTTTTCTCATAAAGCATTTGGCCAATACTCCAAAAGTTGGTCAATGCAAGGGCGGCTGGACCCTCGTCCTTACGCGGATTTGAAAAACGAATTGGAATTTTCCAAAGTCTCGAGTAACTTTATCTGGTAATGTTAACCACCAGACCAAAATGCTTCAGTCATTTGAGAAATTTCATTCAAAATGCCATAAATTAATTTAACATATATAATTGGATTTTCGTAATTTAGTACTTCATCCACTAATAGTCACTGAATTTGAAGTTTCTTTCCTTCCAATTTTTCTATTTGAATTGAGTTCATGGAAAGAGAGATATGTTGGAAGTTCTTTTTCTGATGGCAGTTTCTGGACCAAGGACCATTAGATTGGTCATGTGGAAGTTTGCTTTGTAGTGATTTCATAGCCTCTCAAATTCTATTTTCTAATGGAAATTTATAGCAAGAAATAAGATGAACAAACTATTTTTTATATATAACCGTTGCAAAGTATCATATTAATAGAATGAATGCAGTTGATAAATTTGAAATATATTTTGTACCATGCTTTTATCGACTCTGATTGGCCTCCCTTCTCATCTGCGTATCTCTGTATCTCCTTTATGTTTCACTTCATTCAACTATAATTGCTACTTCACTTATTTTTGGTAATGGCATCAAGAGTCCCCTAGGCTAGTAGCCCAAACAAGCCTGAAAACAAAATTAGAAAAATATGCCCCCAGGATCGACCCTATCTACCTCGTGCCTAAGAAATGCAGGTTTGGTTGGGCCGATCGGGCTTTCAATCTCTTTTGATGGCTCCTAAATTTTATTAACTTTTATTATTTTTTATTTTTCATCTTTACCATCCTTAGTGCTGGATAGGTGGATTTTTTAGTTTCTTTTTGTTTCTTTGATGGTGAATGGGCTGGGCCTATTCGTAAAAGTTGTCCTTCTACCAAAAGCCCATAATGAGCCGAGTGAGGTCCTATCAATGAGTTGGAGCCACTGCTGACAGTTGTTAGCGGCTTTTCGTCGCCCAAACGTATGGCCACAAAATGGCACGCCGAAGCCAATGACAAGGCGCCGATACATAAGCAATTTAGTTAGAGAGAGAAAAAAGATAAGATATTTTGGAGAGGGAGTGATGAAAGGAAAAACCCTCAGTGAAAGGAGAAGAAATGATAAAAAAAAACAAGAAGAAGATAAAATCCTTTGACTTCTAGATGTGTTTGTTTTACGGAAAATTATCAATTAAAAATATTTCTAAAAATATTCTTTTCATTCGCTTGCAAAAAAAGATTAATGAGAAGTACTTTTATCATTAATAAATCGTATAGGCAGAGATTATTGTTGATGATGAAAATATGTTCCGTTAACTAGTTTTTCTAACCAATACAAATAACTAATTTTAGAAATGTGATTACAAATCATTGATTTTTCTTGAAAAAAAAATCAATAATAAAGCTTCGGAACTCGACCTCTTTCATCTTTATTACTGATGCCACTGTTAGCTTCGTTATCTCATTTCGGCCATCCTCCTTTAACATGTGGTCGAACCTACTAAAGGCTAAGTCCAAATAATATCCGTGATCGTATGTTTGTTATTATTATTAGGTTAACTCATTTTCTGAAGATTAAGAAACATAATTTACGTTACCAATTGTTTGTCCAGTCATACAATTTATTTGTCCCCCCCTTTTTTTTTGGCTTAAATTTCTTTTGAGGCGGTCTGAGGGTATAGAATTGGAAACTTTGTGTAATTTTTTTGGTCAGAAACACCACTTTTATTTATCACTAGTTCTTCTAGACAAAGCCCAAAGAAAGGACATCAAAACACAACAAGTCCCATGGGGACTGGGGGGTTGGGCTAACTAGAAAGGGTATTCAAACGTTGGGCTTTTTGGCTACCCAATCAGCTACTTGATTCGCCATTCTTCCACGATGGGCCCAAGACAAGTAGGGCTTCCACCTCCCACGGCACGTGATCGTCTTCCGGCAGAGCGTCGACCAGAGCAAAGTTGTCTGACTCCAAGTACGTGTCCTCTTCTCGTCAGATACATCCGAAGTACATCAAAGCTTGGGATTGAATCGGCTTCCCGCGACCGATCCTTCCGAACCACCAGCTTCGAAGGACACGTCGACGTTTATCTTGGGAAACTTTGCGTATTTAACTGACGAGATGTGAGATTTATTATGTGAAGACTCATTATGCTCAAAACTTTCTGTTCATGCAATGACCTTCCTGGACTGGGTTCTTCCACTACCAGATGTTGGGATGCATAAAGATTGGAGAAGGAGAAAGAGTAAGAGGCTCAACCCCCTAAGGAAAAATGTCTTCCGATGGAGGAGACTTTCGTATTTGTGAAATAAAACCAATATGGAGTCACCGTATGTCCTGATATCCAACTCAATTGCCCTGGTTTTGATACACAAGAACCAGCCTCTCAACATTATGGAGTCTCAGTAACTCCAGTTGGAATTTCAAATACCCTGTATGCCTTAAACACCTCTCTGGTCTGTGCAAGAGCACGTCTCCAGCAATTTGAAGAGTTCAGCGAAACAGAATCTCGCGGGAGAACCTCATCCGCTTGAGAAGAAAATTTTGGCGAGGACCTGCGACAATGACCCTTCTGCTGAGGTTATTCAATAGAGTCGAACTGAGGAGAGTATTGCTTACTGTTGACGTAACAAGTAATCGAAGTTAGAGAGCTGTTACTCTCGTTTCCCCTCTCTCGGACAATTCGTCGAACACTTTCTGAGCAGAATCAGTAACCTCAGTATTACGCGGCAAAATCGAAGTGACCGCCTCGAACACCATTCGGCAGGGCCTCGGAATCCGTCACCCAGGTGCATTGTTCAGCGTCGCCTTCGCCTTCTTCAGTGGAGCTAAATCTGGCACCTGTCTTCGGATTATAGTCCGTTCATTGCCGTAAATTCCAAACACAGAGAAGTGAGCCGGAGCAGTTCTGCACGGAGAGATGTTGACTCTGGCTCTCCGGAGCGGCGTTGAACGATCTGAGGGTGGGGGGGAGAGGCTTTGGCATCCTGTAAAATGCGCTTGCTCTGGCTTTATCGGCTCCAAGAGAGGAGGAGGTCGGATCGCACAGATTTCGGACAGAGGAGAGACGATCGAAGAAAGGCTCAAAAGAGACATTCACGAATATGATCGAAGGCTTTCGTAGTGAAGAGTGCTCTGCACGTTCACTCTCTCTCTTCGGCGGACAGGATTGAACCATTTTCTACAAAATTATTATCTGAAGATTTGATAGATTTTGTCTATTTATTTTATGTAGTTTGGATAAAGGGCCAGTTATCTCGTGATTTTCCGTTAAGGTACCGGTTCAAATCTAAATCGTGTATCATTAGTTAGCATATCTGTCTTATTATAAAATTTTTAGTATTGACTAACATTATCGTGAAATATATAAGTAAATTAATGGAGTTTTGTCTTGATAGTAAAAGTTAAGAACCTCGATTTTTTTTTGGTCAATTCTAGCGAAAGACATTTCGAATTTCAAAATATCGTCACCACAAAACATGCATAGCGTTGAAAATTTTTAAATTTCTGTTATTTGATTTCTTAACAAATACCCAATATGACTCGCTAATAAAAACCTTTTTCGCAAAATAAAAAAAAAATACTAAATCTTGAACTTGGAAAATAATGGCCTTAACGATTTCGTCATCGTCTTCTGCGTTCGGCCAATCAATAAAACCAAGGCCTCCTCTTGAGTTCTCCATAGAAAGGACAAAGCCACAGCGAGACCACCAGCGAATGAGGAGGAGGAGGAGATGGAGAAGGGGAAAAGGAGTGATGGCAATATGGGGGAAACGATGGGCCATCCATTTCACCGATGATTCTACTTCTCATGCCGCTCCCACTGCTTGAACGTCCACCTGCTGCTGCGGATGGACTACGTCGGCATCACGGTACGCTCTGGTGTCATTCCGGGAGCTGCCGGAGTACACGAAGGACAATGAGTTCATCCTCCGCCACTACTGTGCCAACCGGCCCCTCCTCGAGGCCGCCCTCAGCTTGTTCCGCTGGCACAACGAGACCCTCAACGTTTGGACGTGAGGATGACTGATGATGTGTTTTTAGTTCGATTTGTTTTTTTTTCATGCGAGGCCATCTTTGCTCATATTTTCTTCTTCGGTTCATTTTTATCTCTTTTTTTTTCTTTGTGATTTGTGGTGATCTCTTTTGCGTCCTCTGTGTGATGGGGGAGCAGGTATTTGATTGGGTTTCTGGTGTTTCTGGGATTGACGGTGGCCAATTTTGTGGACGTGCCTCAGGTTGCTGATCTTCTCGGCCTATTCCCAAGGTGTGTTTTGTATCATTCAGTCCTATACTAGCATGCACATTTTAGTGAGTTCTGATCTATCGATGTTTGCATTTAGCAACTTGTCCCAACTCGACGATATCGGATGGAACCCCTAATTTCTAGTGAGGAATTTGTCAGTAGTAGCTCCATCTATGTTGACTATCATAGCTCGTTTTTACTGTCTAAAGTGTAATCTAAGATGAGGCTCGTAGGTGCAAGTTATAACTTACTAGAGAGTTTGCTAAATTGCTCATTTGGTGAAGATGTTTGAATTACCCTGTTTTGATCAAATCCTCCATAACCAGCTTAAAATCGTCGAATTTCAAGTCACAATGCTTAGATTTTTCTACCTGCTTATTAGCAGAACGGCGCTTTTAGTACGTACAAGTCAATGTAGTATTGTGGTATTCATGGCTTGTTACCATACCGAGCAATCAGCCATTTTCATTAGCCAACCCTTCTTGCAACCGGCAACTGGCAACCAAAATTGCCATTTAAAACCTTCATTTTCTTGTGGTGCTGTATCGAAATCGCAGGTGCCACAGATGAATAACTCGTGTTTGTGACATTAAGGGCAGGCACATAAAATCAAATTTAAACTCATAAAGTTTGTTTCATAGGAATATACAAGGGTCGTGCTCGTCATTTTCATTGTTGCTTAAATTTCAGGAGTAGTAGCCTGACAGTCAAGACAGTCTTGCTCAAATAGCAAGTGCAAAATTAAGATGGATAACAAGGGTCATCAGCGATTACTTACCATGATGGATCAAAGTACTAATAGAAATTTCTATTCTTTTCAGAAAGAAATAAAAGATCAAACCCATCGGAAAATCTCTCTCTGTTCCTGGTAATACAACATGCATTCAGTCAAACCGTCAATAGATAATCATTTTCCACGCAAGTAGCACTGTGTGTCTAGAAAAAGTTCACACATGGTGGACCTTGTAATAAACTATTGCAAAATGCTCTGAATGTTGATTGCTGCTAAGCTTTTTTGAACGAAATCATAATGGTAAATAGCTTTTATAGTGAAGAGTAGTACACTGGTTGTCAAATTAAATTTGAAAGAATCAGCTTAAGCAAGCTAGATAGTTCTTCAATTAGTGCTCTGCCCATTCACTTTCACCGTTTTGGCCTACCCTCTCCCTTCGGCAGACAGCATCGAACCATGTTCTATAAATTATGATCTGAAGATTGGACTCCGACTAGTGTACCATAGATTATACAATGGCTTGATATGCAAACCCACTTGTGCAGGTCAAACTCTACTAGTACAGGAAATAATATCTCTTACTCAAAGGAATTGCTTTTGGTGAGTGGCGTGGCAACGATGTTTCATTCAACTTACGAAAAGAATACTCTCTTTTGAAGTCTACAGATGTATCTAACACAACATAGTTTTCAGGGTACAAATTATTTGCTGAACTTGAATCAGATAACAGAAGAAGATTTGAAGATCACTTCACTCCAACCAGCCGCAACACGGTGGCCGTTCTTTGTCTTCTTAGGCGGATCCATGTTCTGCCTCCTCTCAAGCAGCATTTGCCACCTTTTCTCATGCCACTCACACTGCTTGAACATCCAGCTGCTGCGAATGGACTATGTCGGCATCACGGTCATGATCATCACCTCATTCTTCCCCCCAATCTACTATATTTTCCAGTGCGAGCCCCATTGGCAACTAATCTACCTTAGTGGAATAAAGGCGATGGGGATGGTCACCGTCACGACACTGCTTGCCCCTTCTCTTTCTTCTGGGAAATTCCGGGCATTTCGGGCAATGCTCTTCCTGTCCATGGGGTTATTTGGCATTGTTCCTGCGATCCATGCTTGTATTGTGAATTGGAGTAATCCCCAGCGCCCGATCACTCTTGCTTATGAGTTGGCCATGGCACTGTCTTACATTACAGGTACTTTGTTTTATGTTAGCAGGATTCCTGAGAGACTAAAACCGGGTTGGTTTGACCTTGCTGGTCACAGCCATCAGATATTTCACGTTTTTGTGATCATGGGTGCCTTGGCTCATTATGGTGTTACTCTGTTGCTCTTACAGTGGCGAGATAGAGTCGGGTGTGATAGAACTGTGTAACAATACAAAAATTAGTCAAAATTCTATTCATTTCGATTGAACCAAATGCAAGCGATTTGCTGGGGTTTCGTGTTATTATGTTGTAAGTGTGTGTACACCCCAAATCAAAAAGCCTCAAGGAAAGATGGCGCCCCATGACAGAGGAGTTGCCTCCATTCAAAAAGAAGTGGAATGCTCATTGTATTTGTTATATTTTTCTCATTTTCCATGGATGATTTGATTTACAATGTGATCATATTCGGGTAATAATCTTTTCTGCTTTCATCTTGTTTTCAGTTGTTTGTGAGTAGTTGCTCTATAATTTTAGTTTGACCGCTATCACTTTTTTTTTTTTGGCTAAAGAATACTACCACCACCACCATGAGAATAGTTTTATAAGCTCTATATCGTCCTCTGTACGACAGAAAAAAGATAAAAGCTAGAGCAGGAGGATGATAAATTCTTTGTGTGGTGAATTTTAAGAAGATAAATTATGGCCCAATACAACATATAGAACTGCTAAGAGTCTACCTAATAGGGTTCGGGCAAAAGCAACAGATGTAAATAAATAGAAATTGCAGACGTGGAACTTGCTTTAGCCCATTTGCAATCTCTGCATCCATCAAGAAGGAGGCGTTGTTAGGAAGGAAAAACTCAGACGATGTAATTGCCACCTTCAGCAAAGTTTCATTCTGGCTGTAATGCTGCTTACTCTCAAAGAAGAATCAGATAAGTATTGGCAAAGTCACTTGACAGCCGATCTGGCTTCGGAAAAATCAGCCACTTCAATGGTAGTGTAAAGAATCATGAAAAAGAGGCGGTTAGATATACTGGCGTACCTTAGAGATTCTCAAGGAAAATCAGAGAAGCACTCGTCAATCTGTGATGACAAGTCACGGCCATAGCTATGAATTATTTATTCTTCATGGTTATTGTATATGTGATCACAGTGATCTTTCCTTCAGTTCACAACCAAAAGAAAATCTGACGATACTCCCTATCCAAATTTATAGGAAAAGACAGACAATATGATGATCCGAGGGTTCAACATGCATAGTGGAGACTCGAGATGTTCAAATGCTTGCAAGCATGAGGTCTGCTAAGGAAACAATCAGATATCCTTACAAACAAAATTTAACACGTTGAGATAGTAGGAGTTGAAGTAGAGAAAAATAATGACCCCACCAAATGCCGCCGCATATGATCCGGCGAAACTCCATAAGAAGTCTTCTTTTCGGGACTCATCATCTTCGCCTATGTCAACAGTTGACACGGTCCACGGACTGTCATTTGAGCTTTTATAACTTATTAACGGTGGTCCACAGAGAAGAGGGTTACTTTCATAAATTGCTTGATAGAAAGTTGAATTGATATTTTCTGTCTGTTGTCTTGCCTAACAAGTTGTGAGCAAAGCTAAAAAGTGAGTGCGTATAGCTCTCTCACTTGCGGAGGAATCAGACCAGTTAATTTGTTGAAGGAAAGGTCCAAGCTCTCTATATTCCTTTAATTGGAGAATTTTTCTAGAATTGATCTCGTCGAATGATTATGCGACAGATTTAAGACATATATTTCGTTCAAATAATCGATTTTAGAGGAATAAAGCCCATCAAATTATTGTGCAAGAGATCCATTCCAGACAGATATTCTAGAAAGTTGCACTTTTAATATTTCAATCTACTCTTTGACATGAAGGTCACTTTCTCCTAGTTCATCCGAAAACGCATATGTACTGCTACCATCATAGAAAAATTATAAGCCAAGTTTTCCCTCGTACTAGTAGCGCTGCCATACTCAGCGTTTTCACTCAAAGTATCGAATGTGCTATTAGATACCCCACCATTTCCAAATTGAAAATCTTAAAAACAAGAAGGAACTTCTCTAGAAAGGCCTATATAAGAGAGATCCAGTATGCTCATCTTGGTCAACTGACAAAGAGCCAGAGGAATTGAACCTTAAAAGTGATTTCCTTTCAGTAGAAGAAACAGATCTAGTTGAGCATCGCACCTGTCAATGCATTTTTCGTAGAGACGATGGACGAAGATCTAGGAAGAAACTAAGGAAAAAGCCTAGTGAGCTCAACTTTTTGTAGATGCAATAACCTCATAAATCTGACATTGGCACGGTGGGGTATATTTGGACTGAAATTTGTTAGTCCAAAGGTATAAAAAACGAGAGGATTCAACTTGCAAAAGCTCAATAATAAAGGACCACCCATAAGTTTCCGACAACGTTAGAAATTCCAAAAGTTGAATATCTCCAATCCAGTTTGGTGTTGGTCTGGACAAGAAATTATCGCCTAAATCCAAAATCCTTGAGTCTGAGCTATCCCAAATGCCAAGTGATACATCCCAGTGAATTGATTGTCGTCCAGATACAAATATTTCAACCTTGTAAAGTTAGTGGTTATTGGTAGCATTCGGCCACGCAACTTCTCGCCTGACAATTTTAGTATAGATAGTGTGACACAACCTATGGCCATTGGCTCTGGCATCTCCCTCGGGAAGCTGTTATTTGATAGATCTAACGTTGACAACAATTTCATATCGCCTACAGATGGAAAGATTCTAACTCCTATCGAGTTCCTTGACAAGTTTAGGTACTGCAAATTTGAAAGGATGGAATCAATCTAAGATAGAAGCGCTCCTTCGATCCTATTGGCAAATGCATTGAACCAACACATATTCACAAGATTTGACTAAGATGGCCAATGAAAAACACCCGGCAAGTTGTTGCCAGTGAGTTTTAACTCGACAAGATTCACCTTATTTTGCAATAACCAATCTCAACACCACTGTACTCCACATGCACAGCACTAGCAAAGGACACTTCATGTTTTTCTGTTGAACTGTTGCATTGCGTCATTGCCTGATTCAGTAGCCGTTATATATGTAGCTCAGCATTATGTTCTCTGTTTTTTTAAGATGGCTATTAATTTAGCTTGACCCATATTTCTTTTGGATAAAAGATGTGACTAGGTTGACCCTTGACTAATATTCTATGTTGGTTTAGTTTGAACACGACACCAAGGTGATGGGAAAAGAAATGCTGGCACAATCATTGATCTTGATACATATGTAGAAGACAGTCGCTCTTAAATTTCTGTCAGTAGAGTCGAACTTATTTTCCAGGTAATTTTGCATTAAGTATTGGATAAGCTTCGTTCTCTTGCTATAAATCTTCATCAAGCAGTGACCATAAAGGTGGGCCCAAGCTGCATAACAGTGGTCCTACAATGCATGCCTTTGTCGTCAAAAAGGAGCAATTCCCCGCGCCCAATCCTTTATGTTAGAAGGATCTTGTCTTGATGCGCTAAAACCCAGTTGGTTCGATGTTGCTGGTTGCAACCATAAGATATTTCACAGCTTGGGTAACATTTTGGATTCATTTTCGCTGTGAAGTAAACTATCCTCTCTCAATTGACAGCCAACTCAATTCTCCTATTATTCAAATTAGCAGGACAAGGAATACAATATGAGCACTCTAGGAGCCAAGCGTTCCCAATCCATAATAAAGACTCAAATGCTTACAATCGTATTAAATAAAGGTTCTCCATTGTTTCATCATATTTTTCAATCACAAAATAATTAGAAGAACAATATCTAAAGGGGAAACGATGGGATAAGCTTACGAACAAGCTCGAACATCACGCGCCGATAGTACGAGTTTAGGCAGAGAAAAAGAGCTACCCCAAGGAATGCCACCACATATGATCCTGCAAAACTCCACAAGAAGGCTTCTCTATAGGAGTCATCCTCCCTGGTATGATTAAAAGGTGGTTGTGTCCCCTGTTCCTGATCGGAGTCATCACAGCTGGTTAATGGTGCTCCACAAAGAAGAGGGTTACCTTCATAACTTGCTTCACCAAAAGTTCCAAATTGATATTTTTGGTCTGGTATCCTGCCTGACAAGTTGTTGTGAGCCACACTAAAATCTGACAGCATGCAAAGCTCTATTAGTTGTGAAGGGATGAGACCGGTTAAGTTGTTGAAGGATAGGTCCAAGCTCTCTATGTTCTTTAACTTGGAAAATGTTTCCGGGACCGTTCCCTTCAAATGATTATGTGACAAGTTCAATGCTCGAAGTTCACTTAAGTAGCTGACCTTTGGAGGAATAAAGCCAATCAAATTGTTCTGCGAGAGATCCATTCCCGACATGAGTTTTAGAATGTTGCCCTTATAAGATTCCAACCTACTCTTTGTCATGAAGTGTACTTCTTCGAATCTCTCCATATCAGCATATATGTCACTATACGAATAATCAAAACCGAATCTGCCAATATAGTGTACGCCATAATATATAGGAGAGAACGAGATACCAAATGCCTCCGTAGATACCCCAACGTTTCCAAATGGCAAATCATTCAAACAAGAAGGAATTGTTCCAGAAAGATTATTATTGGAAAGATCCAATATGCTCATATTTTTCAACAGACATAGATCCAGAGGGATTGAACCTTCAAATTTGTTTCCTCGTAGTAGAAGAAACTTCAAGTTCCGAAGTGAACCGATCCAGCTGGGGACCTCACCTGACAATACATTATCTCTCAAATCCAACGTGACAATCAATGAAGCTCCCGAAAGAAACTTAGGAAAAGGCCCAACAAGCGTGGCATTTGCTAAATGCAAGAACCTCATAACTGCAACATTGACACAAGGGTGTATATTCGGCCCAAGGTTGTTACTTGAAAGGTCTAAAAGATCGAGATTCCGTAAGTTGCATAAGCTCAACGGTAAAGGACCTCCCAATAAATTACTTGACAGTATAAGCGCTCTCAATTGTTGAATATTTCCAATCCAATTGGGAAGTGTTCCAGATAGGGAATTATTACTTACATCTAAAGCTTGCAAGAAGGAGATATTTAATATACCAGGCGATATGCCCCCTGTGAAACAATTGCCATCCAGATACAATATTTGCAAGCTTGTCAAGTTAGAATACCTCGGTAGCATTTGGCCTTGCAAATTATTGCTTGACAGTATCAACATAGAAAGTGATGTACAATTTTTAGCCAATGTCTCTGGTATTTCTCCCGTGAAGCCATTATTCGACAAGTCCAATATGGACAACCGGTGCATATTGCCCATTGAGGAAGGGATTCCACCTTTCAAATAGTTATTTGACAGGTTCAAATATTCCAAATTCGAGAGAATACAACCAATATGAGATGGAAGCTCTCCTTCACTAAAACTAGCAGACACATCGAAAATCCTTAAGCTGACAAGATTCGAATTGGAAGGCAAATAAAATGAACCTGACAAATTGTTGCCTCTGAGTATGAACTGCTCTAGA